AGAAATTGTAGGCGAAAACAGAAGAATTTTTTGTCGAAAACAGGAAAAGGGTGAAAACTCGGTACAGTGATGGTGATGTTGTTCATGTCGGTGGTGATGTCGATGGTGATAAGCGTTGTCGGTGGTGGTGGGAGATACGAGGAAAGTAGAGGAGGGAAAGAGGAGAAGAGAACAAGAGAAGAGAACGAGAGGAGAGAGGAGAGGAGAACGACAGAGTGGAGAGAGGAGAATGAAGAGGAAAGAGGATAAGGAGAGGAGAGAGAAGAGGAAAAGAGGCGTAAAGGATTTTTAGGATTTTTAGAATTTGAGATTTTTTAAAATATATATATATATATTCCGACGGAAAATTCCGTCGGAAATTTCCGACGGACTATAAATCCGTCGGAAAATGTCTTTTCCGACGGAATTTTCCGTCGGAACGCACATATATTCCGACGAATTTTTATCCCGTCGGAAATTTCCGACGGATTTGTGACGGAATTGTTGAATTCGTCGGAAATTTCCGACGGAATAATGGGTCCGTCGGAACTAGTCCATCGCTATTTGCCTGTTTTCTAATAGTGATAATTTTCCCACGGTGAAAATTTACTTTTACGAGAAAAACCTACCTTTGATGAAGAAAGTATATATGTCACATTTTCCTTTTTTATTCCGCACTTCTCTATCTCTTCTCAATGCTCCATCCTTCTTCTTCATTCCATTTACTCTCCTTTTTCTTTTTCTTTTTCTCCCACAAGTATACCTATAATAACCAAACAAATAACACAAATTCTTTAATATAGCGGACTTTCATTAAATTATAATAAGACCAATTAAAGTTACCTTAAAAGTATTTATTTACCCTTATATAATACAAAAATTATTTTACCTTTAAAAATACTTATAATGTATTAGATCAATCATATTAGTATTCATGGTATGTATCCATTAGAAATTACACATTAAAACGCTGTCAAATACATTGCAAATTAAAAGTTACCATAAAAATTGTTAAAGTTATCCTTAAATTTACCGTCTAACGTGTAAGTCCGCCTTATACAAGACTTATTGAACAAATAAAGAAATACGTTTTTTACAAATACATTTTCCATTAAATATTATTTTCTGTGTAAAAAAATTAATTTTCGTGAAAGACATTTTCCATCAAAACAAACGAAACATAAAAAGTAAAATTCCACATACAAACATAGGATTACATTGAATGTGAGTGTGAATTCTAACTTTTATTTATGGGAAGATAGAAGAAAAATTATGGTAAATCCTTGCTTAAAATAAAGTAGGACAAAGCAAATTAAACCAAATGAAATAGTAGTAGAATAAGTGTGCGTGTAGGATGTAGGTTGTATTATCCACTTATTTGTGAATTTTGATTATAGTAATTCATGTTTGACTTGAATTAGTATGACTTACGAAAAAATACAATCATCAAATTTTGATGAAAGTGACTATAATTTCGTATTGTGTTTGCTTGTGTTATTAAAATGCTTAAAGAAACAATTAACCCTTTCACTAATTTTATAATTAGCTTTTTTTTACTTGAAAAATGATCTGATAATTTGAGATCATAAATTGATGACTTAAACCAATCAATAATGACCACGTGTGTTGACAATTGTCAAAGTAAAAATTCAATTAGCATATGAATTTTAAGTTTGAACGCGTATTATTATTGCTTCCGTCAAAATGTCAATTTGATCACGCACCCTTATTTGGGAAAAGGACATATTCTTCTTTCATTAACTCCTCTTATCAATTTATCTATTATCTTATCACCAAAATAAAATTAGTTTTTTTTTTCTTCTTTTTTCTAATGAAGAATATATTCCCAACAAAAATGTTCCCTTTACTTTCGGTTAATGTATGTTTTTCTACAAAGAGGAAGGCATCTTCCTTTATTGAATGATGGTAATGGTATAACTAGTTCGATGATCAATGTTATAGAATCGATTAGGTGCGCCAGCTAACTTAGTCGATAAATTCTTGGTGATGGCTTTTAGCCTCTGAAATTTTTTATATGTGAGACACATAGTGTGACCGGGTTTACTCGAGTTACTCGGTTAGGGAACATTCGAGTTACTCGGTTAGGGAACATTCGAGTTACTCGGTCATGGGTTACTTGAAGGGTTTGGTTAGGGGTTACTCGATCAGAGGTTACTTGAGGGGCTCAGTCCGGATTATCCGAGAGGTAATTCGGACATAGATTACTTGAGGGGTTCGGTTAGGATTTACTCGAGTTACTCGGCCAAGGGTTACCCGAGTGTTAGCTGGCCATACAGTATAACCAGCCGCACACAAAAGTTGCTTATAGATTATTAATATATTTGCGGCATATTCGTGGCTTTCAGTCTCTCAATACCCCAAACAAATTAGACAAAAGTAGATCTTGTAGAATGTTTATCCTTAGCTAGCTAAATTATTATGCGCCACTAACAAAATATAAAGGTCCATCTTTTTTTTTTTCATAGCCTAGAAATATATTTTAAAAAGGCAGAAAGATCTATTTGAAGTAGTAAAGATATATAACCAGCTTGGCATTGCCATTCTTTTCCAAAGTTGTGAGTTGTAAAACATCAAACATTCGAAAGATTCTAAAATCTTATGTATTTGCATGTTCAGATCGATTATAAGGTCTAAAGAAGATTCTTAAATTTAGTAGCATTAACATTCACTCATAACCATTTTAAATATCTTCATCATAATTTTTCCATTGGGTCACACATGGAACAATATTATTAATTTATTATAAACAAAGTAGTTAAAGTAAAGTACTAATGTCAATTAAACTCATAGTTGCAACAAAAAAGCTAAATCATGATGGGCTTACACATTAGTTCTATCTCCTTTTTAAGGATTTATTAAAATATTGAAGAAAAAAAAATGATAGATATACCGGACACCTAAACTAATACCGATTTCAAATTTGTTTTGAGAATAACTACATTACTCGTGGTTTTGGCCATGCGTGCTTGACATATAGTTAATTTAACAACAATTAACTGTATTAATTACATGTTATGAAGTACAATACGTCTAATTGTTACGGAGAATAAGATTATAACTAGTTAAATACTAAATACAAACGTAATTATATAACATAAAATTTGTGAATTTTTTTTTTAATCACAAATTAAACTATTCTCGTACAATTATTCCTTTTTTTTTTGAAGAAATTTTACAACTATTCCTTTAGAGATAGAGATTGTGACTACTTTTCTAAACATTATGAAACTTTTGAAATAGTTTCGAACATATTTTTATTGATTATATCACTTTGTAGTTTGATTGTATGGATGATGTTGTACTTTAAGTAATATAATTGTAGTTAGTTAAGAGCACATACTTGTCATTGTTATTGTTATGATACGTAATGGGAAATATTTATATAGTATGTGTAATACTATGTATTTTTCAATTTTTTTTTTTGAGAAATAATGCTAGTTTAGTTTCGTGCGTTGCACGAATTAAGTAGCCATTATTTGTTTAAATATACTTGGCTACTTGTTAGAAACTTAGAATTATTTATCAAATCAAAAGTTTGTTTCCCACTGAAAACTTGAAAAGTGGACAATCTATTCTCGTGAAAAGGAGATTAATTTACTACTTCTGTTTCTTTTTAATTGTAATATAAGAGTATTATTTGTACACAAATTATTGGGTCAGCCAAGTTGACCAAATAGTTCGTGCGGCAGAGGAGATGACGATAAAGACGACAATAATGGTGGATCTCCTTCTTACCCTGTAGGCGACGATGACAACATCAATGGCAAAGGAGAGAAGTGGGGTCATTCATGGCAGAAGAGGGACAAAGTTTAATTCTCATATTTTTCGAAAAATGCCCAAAAAATCGAATTGAGATTTTCTTATGTGATGTATAATTGGTGAAAATGTTTGTCCCATATGATTGTATGTTGAATTGTGAGCATTTTGGTGACAAATGCATGTATTTTGGTTGAGAAATGAGCAAGTTATGTTATACCAATGACCTTTAGTACGAGCTCTTCAAGGGAGGTTCCGCCATTGTTATACATATCATAAAACAAATTATACAAATCTCTCTCTATTTTTTTAGAGACCCCTTGTAAATTTATCTTTTCAATATAGTTTAGTACTTCTTTTTATTTAACTTTCTTAATACCCGCGTAATCAACCCAAATGGGTCGTTCTTTTGGGGATGGAGGGAGTAGGTGTCAAATTTATTTATTTTTTTTAAAAAAAAAAATTCATAATCTCATTAATTAATTTTGAAAGAAGCACCGTATTTATTTAGTTTTGAAATAAAAAAGGAAAAAAAATGATGATGTCAAAATAGTTTAGGCGGGAAATTTTTTAATAAGGAATTGACATGTGCCCTTTAATGATGTCAATATGTTTTGTTTTAATAATTGTTAATAGATTTGTGTAATATATACTCTATAACGCAATAATATATTTATGATTTATTTAAATTTTTCATTACTATTATATTTTCTAATATATCCATGTGATATAAGTTCATTAGGTTACAAATCCAACAGATACGAGTATCAATTCAATATCCTAACAGATATCATTAATAAGAATATGTTTAACAAAAAAAAGTATAAGATCAAAAATCTAAGTTCCAAACAGATATCAAACCTTTTTTTTTTTTTTTAATTTTTTTTTTATGACAATTGAAATCCAATTTAAGATATTTATGAAAAGTACATTAAATTAGGATAAAAAGTTAAAAACTTTAAAGAAATAATATTTTCATAAGCAATATTTGACTTGTTACCCTTATTGGCCTTATAACACCACATAGCAGCCGTGTAAAATTGGTAGTCGTATTTAATTATACCATTACTACAATATGAAAGGAAAAATAAAATTAAAATGATTTTTTTTTTACAATAAAAGTAAATGAAAATGGAATTAATAAAAAACGCGTTTCCTAAAAAGCGTAAGCCTAATTGGAACCTTCCTTGAATAAATCTTTCCTACCTATTTTCCTAAACTTTGTTTGCCTATAAATACATGTAAAATCATTAGTCATTCCTCCCATAAAAAAAATCACAACAAGTTTATAAGCCTTGAAAACACCACAACAACAACCCAATTACTTTGTGAATTGTTATCAACCAAACAGAAATTATGAGCAACACACAAACTCAACAACAACAACAACAAAACATGGACAACGTTCCTCCTGCAGGTATTAATTTTCTTTTTTTATTTTTATTTTTCGGTTGTTAATTTTAAGTTTTCGAATTGTTTTTGAGTTTTGATGATGATGATGATGTTGTAGGTTACCCGACTCTAAGTCCTCCTGAAGGAAAGATGAAGAAGAAGGGTTGGTTCCGCACCAAGAAGAGGGGTGAGAAAGGTTTCATTGAAGGATGGTACGTCGTCTCTCTTTATTCCCTAACTTAATGAATAATACTCCCTCTGTTCGTTATTATTCTTTATGTTTTTTTAGGTTTAGCTATGACACATAAGGTGCCTTAGGCAAACCCGATTTATGTACTTACTTAATTCCGATGATTGATTGGTTAACTTTTTTTTTTTTGGGGGGGGGGGTTAGAGTTTTTTTTTCTTCATATAGCCAATAATCAACCAGACACAAAATTAATTTTCATGCATAATTGACTAATAATAAAAGTCTAGTTGTTGGTACTATGTGTTTATATGCATGTGTGAAACAAGATTATCTTGCATAATTTTAAACAAAACAATTTTAGAATATAACATGACTTTATTTGGATTAAAGATTAAGCTACTCTTTATTTTTAATTCAAAGAATTAATATATATATATATATATATATATATATATATATATATATATATATATATATATATATATATATAGTCAAATTATATATATACATAGTAATAATAAATTATGTATGATAAACAAAATTGTTTATATTGTTTGTTTGTTGAATGTTGTCTAAAAATTGCAGTTTGGCCGGGTTATGTTGCTGTTGGATCTGTGAAGAGTGCTGCTGCTAAAAGAATCATGGATTGAATGATTGATGATGATTGTTGTATCTATCATGTTTTTAATACAGTTTGTGAAATTATTGGATTCTTGAATTATGTGTAACTGATCTATGATTTGATACACAATATATATATACTTTGTCATGTGAATAATAAAATTATCAGTGTTAGTTTTTGTTAATTATTCTGGTCTATCTAATGATTGTTCATTTTTTGTTTGGCGGATGGATTGGTGCGCGCAGCCTTGCAGCTTTATGCTGCTGTTGGGTTTGTGAAGAGTGTTGTTAAAAAGTCTTCTCCACCCTTCAAATAAATTAAATTTTATATTTTGTCAAAAAAAAAAAAAAAAAGAAATTAAGTTATTATTTTATGAGCTTGTAAAACATTTATCCATTATGTTATTTTGAGAGTTTAGTGTGAGTTAGTTTATTAATTTCGTGTTTTTTCAACCTATATATATATGTATCGGAACAACAAAATATATGAGTAGTAAAAATTTGCGTTTTTAATATTTGCGTTTTTAATTATTACTCTGTATCTTTATTTTTTGTCAATATATGAAATTTTAAAAATATAGTAAATGAAGAAAATGACATAATTGAAGAAGATAAAGAGAGACAATTGATAATTTGTGGAAGGGCCTAGATCGATCTATGTAGGCGTGATGAGGACGTTATAGAAAATGCAATGTGGACCAATTTTTCAACAATGGCACAAACAATATATTCTACTAGTCTAATCATCATTTAATTGTCGATTAATAATCCTATTATTAGGATAACCACGAACAAAGTTGGAACTATCTGTTCCTGCTGATTTCTGCTTCCGTTGATGTCCGAGGGCTGGTAATGGATTTCGACCTTGTAAATAGCAGGTGCCTACGCGGCACCAAGCGACTCTCCACGTGTCAGAGGGACATGCCACGTTCCGAGAAGCAGCTCTCCACGTGGCAGAGACTGATGCCGGTAAGGACATGAATTATTCAATGATTAACGAGGAATTTAAACTACACGTCACCCTTTTACCGGCATATTATAGATGCTACCGGTATATCCCGTACAACTAGCCCCCCAAGTGAGGACGTTAGTAAAACTAACGTGCTCACTTGCGATCGAACACGGTGCTAGTACACAATATACCATTCAAGAATGATGAGAAAACGAAAAGATCTACGATTGACGACAGTACTTTGCTCAATTTAAGATGAAAAAATCTACGATTTGCCCCCCAAGTGAGCAAATTGCCGATAGGATTTTGTTCAACTGAAGACGAAAAAATCTACGATTTGCCCCCCAAGTGAGCAAATTGCCGATAGGACTTTGCTCAATTTAAACTAAAACCGAAAATAGTAGTGAATATGGTTTCACTTTATTTGAATTTTTCCCCAGGATTTGGCGGGAAACTTAATAAAATAATGGGGCACGTGTCAGTCATCAAAGTAGGGTGTTTTAGAAAAGGCGTTTTATTACAGCCGTTGGATGGCATGCAGTAAATGTCACATCAACCGTTTCATTTGGACAGTATAAAATATCAAATTTCGTACTTTTGACCCTTCATTTCCTTTGCGAAATTTTTTTGAAAAATTTCTACTTCATTTCGCTCGTAGTACGCACATATTTCTGCGATTCAGGAGTCGATTTGTCAAAGGTTTGTTCAGTTGTGTTGTGACCGGTGTTTGTAAACGGAGGACACTTAATTCCTGAGTTACGCTTTCAAGAGTTGAGTTCAAAAGAGGTAAAAAAACCCTAACTTTCTTTTCAATTTCTCACTAGTTTGTGGTTAAGTAGATTTTGCGTTTATTTCATTATTTGTGAATGTCTGGTTCTGGAATGCGTGCAAATACGGGTAAATCCAGTGAGGATGAACTCTGTACACCCTTAACTTCTGTAGAAGAAAGAGAAGCTTATTACCGCCATAAGTTTCTGGCTGACGCCGAGAAGGCTTTGCGTCCTACTGTAGACACCCATTTGTGTCTTTGCAAAACCAAACCCGGTGATGAGTGCCTTTCACGTCGAGTCATAATCGAATGAAACGAAAGTGTGGAAAGGTCTAGTGTTGCGGAAAGTTTTATTTCTCTTTTATTCTCCCTGTTTTTGAAAACTTTATTTTAAGAAAACAGCCAATCCAGTTTGGTTGGTCCATGATATGGGTCCAATAGTGGTGTATTTGGATGGGGCTTGCAAAGACCTTTCCAACGATATATTATAAGCCCAATTCCGATGAATATTGAGGAAGTTATGGCCAATTTACTAAACTGGGCCCGGTTTGAGCTTTAAGTACGGCCTAATGATCTAGGGGAGGGCCTAATATAATTTATCATTCCTAATGCAATTGGGAATGGTTTTAGTCTTCTAGAACATTCTAGAAGGTTCTCAACATTTCTAATTCAATTAGGACTCTTCAGAGTTTTAATCAAGATCAAATAACATTTTCGATGGAATTATATTATTTTATCTTCCAGTACAGGAAATTTATCAGATTTTCGAAAACGCGTTGAAAACCACTTTGGCGTCCAACCCCAGGCCTTGGCGCCTGGAACCAGGATTGGCGCCAGGCGCTAGCCATTGGCGCCTGGCGCCATTGCTGTTTTGCGATCTTCAGACTCTGTTTTGTTAAATTATCTTTTTTGATGATCTTCTCTATAAATATTGTATCAAAAAACTCCATTTTCATCATCAATTACCATTCATTAATTCTCTTCATTCATCATCTACATCATTCATTCATCAATTTTCAATAACATTAATTCTTTAGCATTCTTTCTTTCTTACTTTTTCATACAAAATTCCGGATTCACAAGATCTAGATACACCTAGCCATATCCGAAGTTGCCTTCGCCCTAGACGTGAAAGGTTTTAATTTCTGAGGGTTTGGTCCCAAATCTCTCTTTCAATTATTTAATTTAATTGCTTTGATTATTATTTTTCCTTGAAGTTACTAACGCGTGTATTTTGTTATTAGAAAGAGGTACGAGGCATCCAAGTAAGTACTTTAATGGTTTTAATTGATTTTATGATGTAGATATCATGTTTATATTGTTATTATGATATTCCTAATATCATGTCTAGGTTAATTTTAATATTAAATATGATTGTTATGATGCCTTTTATTTTCTTCCTAATATTTATGATTGTTAGTATCATGTTAGGGTTAAAGATTTGATTTTTATTGTTTAGTGACATGCTAGGGTTTGTTATTAATCTTGTTAGTATCATGCCTAGAATCTTGCTATGCTTTAACATGATTATGATTATGATTGATATTATTGTTATTAATGATGTTGATTATTTATTATGTTGCTTGATATATTTTATTTGTTATTGCTTGATCACCTTTATTGCATGTTTAAAGGGAATTGGTACTTGCAACCACGCTTAATAAGATAATTAATAATCTTGTTAGGTTAATTGTGATTATAATTCAAGTGATCGCCAATAATAGTTTATTTGTGCATTAAATTCAACCAACATAGATTAAATAGGTTTAGGGTAATCCTATTGATTGCATGTTAGTCAGAAAGCGCACATGAATACGAGCAGAATAAAGTAGAGGCCTATTATTAGGGCAGGTTCTATCTCTTTTAGGTTGGATTTGTACCATCATCCCCGAGCCCTTATTTGGTTCATGACCTTATGGAGTTGACAATCTCTTGGATCGTTAAGGGGTGTAACCTTCACCTCGTGAATGGTTTACAAGTTCCTTAAAAACTTGTTGGCGACTCTTTTGCTCTATCTTCTTCCCTTTTGGACGCCACCGTACATTAGTGTATGATCACAGTGGGGTTCAAGCTAGTGGGATTTTAAAGGCTTGAAATTATTCCCTACACCTACCAACCCCGATATTCCGGAGGACACAGAGATTGCCGATGTTGAGCCTATTAGCGTTACATTATCATTTGAGGTCAAATTTGGATTTATTTAATCAATACGGCACTAATATTGATAGGATGCCGAGAACAAAACATACCAGTTACCAACCTGAGGTTGGTGAGAGCAGTAGACGCTCTAGTGGGGGAGAAGATGATGATCCTGGGCATGAAGCTTTGGATATCAAAGAAGAAGATATCCTGTCAGTATAGGAAAGTCTGGAACGACAAGGAAGTAGGGGTGAAAGCATTGGTGATGAGGAAGATGAAGAGCAATCAGAAAGGCTTGGGGAGGGAGAAGATGATGACGAAGAAGACGAGACCGACGAGGATGTTCGGGCCGACTTCAATCTTGCTGCTCAGATTGCAGAAGAGGAGCGACTCGACGAGGAATACGACTCAGATCAAGATGATCCGAAGTATCTAGAACCCCAAGAAATTCCCAGCAGCTATGAGATAACTGAGTCAGTTGTGGATCCGGTATGGTTGCAGACAACCACCGAGAAAGACTATTGCCAACATGGCAAACGCTTCTACCGTCTTCATGACGGCTATGAACTGAGACTACCAAGCGAAGGTCAAACGACTTTGGATTGCCCTGCCGGCCACATTGTCGTGTATGCAAAGCATTTAGAATTTGGTTTACGGTTTCCACTCCATCATTATATCGAAAAAATATTCAGGGCTTGGAACGTTTCAATTGCACAGTTAACGCCTCCAACCATCCGAAACATAATGTCTCTTGTCTGGGTTATGATATTTATGGACTTTCCCCTTACCCTGAACTTGTTTCGGAGATTGCACTGGATCAAGAGAGATAGCCAGTCACCCGGATGGTGGTCCTTTTTACCGCTCCCGGTAAATGCACTGTGTGGCCAAAATTGACCAGTTGCAAGAATTGGAAGAACGAATTTTATTTTATGAGTGTTCCCGACGATATTACTGTCCGTTTCATCACCCACACAGCATGTTCGAGACCATACGGTCGAGAGCGTTAGGAAAGATGGAGAAAAAAGCTTTTAAGTGGTTTAATTGTACATATGTTAGTGCTGGTAAGAAGAATAAAGTTGTTCCGGGGGTGTGGCTGCCCCATTGTAATTATATACTGGGCAACGCCCCTCTTTCTCATGTCGGTCTCTGCCATACCGATGCTTTTGGTATGGAAACATTTATAAATTATATACATTTATTTATATTTATCTTTACTGTACTTGCACTTTGCATTTGGTAATAAATTGACAAGTGCTTTGCCTGCTGATTTTCTTACCTGCCTGCGTATATCTTACTTAAACTTGTTTCTTGTTCTTTTTTAAAAAAAA